TCCACTCTTGCTTTTCTTCTTACTCTCCATACAACCTAATTCTCCCTGGGTGATTTTATCTATATCCATAGTTTTAGTGACTACTTACATTCAGCTTCCCAATGAACATTCTGCTCTAGATAATCAGTGGTATTTCAGTAACAAACATGTCTTAGAACTAAACATCTATTTGTCCAAACCAGCTATTCCTTCTATATCACCACTCTAGTATAAAAGATAAGTATAAGAGACAGTTTTCTACTATCTCACCCTGTGGCTGAAATGAGGTTCCAAAGCTGAGAACTGTAAATGATGTTTATACACTCTAAAAAGGACAAGACTAAAAGACAGCATTCCTTTCACTCACCTCCTGTCTATTCAAAATTTTTTTAAAAAGAGATTAGAAACAGAAGAGAATTTGTAAACAAAGAGAATGCTAGGGCTGTACACCTCAATGAGAACAAAGGCAGGGATTCACCAAGAAAATTTCTGGGACAGCTAGGTGATAACCGCAAGAAGGGGAAACTGACATATGAATTGTTGGCTGGCGACTTATTAAGATAAAGAAACTCTTAAGCCCATCTTTGTCTAGCCACCAGAACTAAATGCAATAAGTTTTCTTGGTAGAACCTGACACATATTCCCAAGAGTTTAGAAAACATGTGAACACAGAAACCAACCCCAGTCTGGAAAATGCTACACAGAAGATGTGTGGAGCTGTCACAATGTCAAGGCAAGGACAGAGAGGACAGCAGTTAGGCAAGCTGCACTTCTACCACTGAGTTATATATGAACTTCAGAGAGGGCACAGTGGAAGGATTTATGGAAGGGGCACTGTGAAAGGATACTACGAACTAATATGACTTGTCTATGGGTCATACCTGACGACATACAAATGGGAACCAGTTTTATTTTTTGCCCATCCTTGACCTTAGCCGTGCCATGCTGGATCTGCCTTCCTTGCCTCTTGATAAGATTTCACTTTTAACCTAACAACAAGCCTTAGTTTGGTGGATTACCAAAGTTTACATCCTGGTTAGAGCACAGTCTTATAACCTCAAGGTCATGGATTCAGATCCCCATTCTGGTCAGCCGCAAAAAAATAAAAAATATGCAACCCCAAAATAAAAAAAATAAAATAAAAAAAGCTTACACCCATTTTATTTTAAAAATCTTATTGTATGTTATTGTGTTTTATTTATTTATTTTTTACATCCATTTTAAAGCTTCTCTTCCCCTGGACTGAGGCCTAATGATGGCTCAGGGATCTGTTGTGGGGAAGAGGAGCATGATGTGTTTCATCCTTCTTCTACCTCCTCCCCCTTTCTGCTTGTGGCTTCTGTGTGGAAGGAAGATTACAGCAGAAAGGGAATTGTCTTATATACCCTCTCTAGATTTCCCACTGACCAAGTAGATGCTGCAGAATAGCTAAGGTATCTTGATGGGACCCTGCCAAAGACATGTGCCTTCCTCAGTAAAGGTACTTAGCAGGAACAGGCTGTAAGGTGGACTGTAAGAGGCAAGAGTTAACCGGAGATTGCAAAAGGTAGCTGGAGTGGACACCATACGCCTGACAGGAACTAGGCAATGTGGACATAACCACAGAGGGCCTCCCAAAAACCGTTCTATGTGCATACCTCTAAAAGTCCACCTTTGGGCACTTACTATACAGAGGGCACCAGTGGCTGGATTACAATAGTCCCAGTCATATAAAACTCTGTCCTTTCATACAGAAGCCACAAGCAGAAAGGGGGAAGAGATAGAAGAGGGAAGGAACACATCACATTCCTCTTCCCTACTACATATCCCTGAGACGTGATCAGGCCTGAGTTGAGGGAAAGAGCAGCTTTCAAATGGATATAAAAGTCAAATAAGAAAAAATGGATGTAAGCTTTTGACTGAACTGTTCATTCCTGTGAAACTTAATTGCCAAACTAAGGTTTGTTCTAACAGTTACAAGTGAACTCTTGTCAAGAGGCAAGGAAGGAAGATCCAACATTGCATGGCTAAAGTAAAGGATGGGCAAAAAATAAAGCTGGTTTCTATTCATATGTCACCAGGTATAACCCATAGACTAGTCATATTAGTCCACAGTGCTAGTATCTACCCTGTTATTCAAGTCAGAATCTAGGAGTCATCCTAGATTCTCCCCCTCCTTAAGATCCTCGTGTCCAGTCATTATGTCTAAAACCTCTTTCAACACATATCTCTTCCTCCCTAGCCCATTAGCTAGTTTAGCTCAAACCTGGAATACTACAATAATCTAGCTTAGTGATTCTCTAATCTGACCTACACTTTAGAATTTAAAGATATTAAACCTAATACCTAGGCCCCAGCCTAGAGATTCAGATTTAAATGAGGTCAATTAGCTAGTTTAGCTCAAACCTGGAATACTACAATAATCTAGCTTAGTGATTCTCTAATCTGGCCTACACTTTAGAATTTAAAGATATTAAACCTAATACCTAGGCCCCAGCCTAGAGATTCAGATTTAAATGAGGTCAAGCAGGAGCCAGCCATTAGTTTTCCAAGAGGTCCTCAAGTGCTTCTAAAGGGCAGCAAATGTGGAGAATCACTGACCTAACTGATCTCTCCCAGAATACAGGCTTACCTTTCACCAAACTATCTTTCACAATGCCACAAGAATTATTGTTTTAAAAAATGTAAATCTCCTATGATTTAGAGCACTGGTTCTCAATCTGGGCTACCTATTAGAATCACTTAGAGAGCTTTTAAAAATCCTGATATCAGGCCAAACTCCAGAGAGATTAAAACGGAATCTCCAGGGATGAGAACCAGGCATCAGTATTTATTAATATCTCCCCAGGGAATTCCAATGTGCAAACAAGGGCAAGAACCACTGTCCTAGAAGTAATGGGAAGCCACAGAAAATGCTTAAGAATAATAAAATCCAAACTCCCCTGAAGAGAGTGTGACCTTCTATCTAGCTCCCTGAAAGAGCCACACTTTTACACTTTTGTGTAAAGTATTACTTCAATCCAGAAAGCCCCTTCTGCTCATCCTCTGCTCAGTTCCACCTACCTTTAAGGTTAAGACATTTCAAGAACAGTCTCCTTTGTACAAACCTTCCCTGACATGCACAGCAGAGCTCTTTAATCAACCTGTGACTGTTATAATTCGGTAGGGCAATGTTTAATGTTTTAGTATAACTCCCTTATTGAACTCCTCAAGATTTAAACCTTATCTTATTCATTTGTATCCCCAATGCCTATCACTATGCATGGCACACAGTAAGTGCTCAAATATCTGCTGAATTCATTCCATTTAGGAAAAAATTTATCTATATTATTACGCAGTACAATTTCACTTCAGTAAACTGTAAGAGACATCATATTTATATATTATATTCAAGTCTCATTAAAACAGAAACCGACAACTGGACTTAAAAAATGTAAAGCAAATGTTTAATGTTTGTTCTATTTATGAATAATAACAAATCAAGTAAGAAGGCAGGTACAAAGGGTAGTGTGTTTCCAGAGTCTTAAAGGTGGCACCTTACAGAATAATAATGCCCAACTTTCCACCCGAATATGCCTTTTAAAACATACCTTTTCCAAAATGTTATGCTGATACAATAACATTTGTGTGTTTTAGGAAAGTGAGTTAGATGACTTAATTAACCTGAGAGTAAAATGATAGGTACTTGCCACCTTAAAATAAAAACAAATTATGAAAAGCTTTTGAATGCTGGAATGAAATTTCTTTTTTTTTAGGTTTCTTTTTATTTTAAATTTTTATTTATTAATAGCATATTCATTCTCACAAATCGTGACATTTCTTTGATCAAACAATTTTTTTATTGAAACATAATTGATTAAACATATTTGTGAGGTACAGATTAATACCTGTGTACAATATGTGGTGATCAATATAATTAGTATATTCATGTTTATTTAATTTTTCCTGCATTTGAACTTTATTTGAAAAAATATCATGCATATTTTTCTCATTTTGCTTCATTTATTCAACATGATGTTGGTAAAATTCATCTCTATTGTAACATGTAACTGTAGTTCAATCATTTTTACAGAAGTATAATATTCCACTGAATGAGTATACCACCTGTAAATCCACCTGGCTGTGCTTTTTCTAGTAGGCATATTTTAAATTCCTTATTTAATGTTTTCATGATTATAGGACTATTTAGGCCAAGAAACCTCAAAGAAAGTAAACGAATATTATAAATCACTTTATGCCTAAAGTTTCCAAACCCTAGATGGTAGAAAAATAAAACTTACTAAAACTTACTCAAGAGGAAACATAAATACATACATGTATTGAAACATCACATTGTACTCCATAAATATATACAATTATTATTTGTCCAAAGAAAAGCCTAAATAGTCCTATAACCATGGAATGAAATTTCTTAAACTTGTACTTAAGCTTAAAAAATACTGATAATGGGGGCTGGGCCCGTGGCGCACTCAGGAGAGTGCAGCGCTGGGAGCGCTGCAGCGCTCCCGCCGCAGGTTCGGATCCTATATAGGGATGGCCGGCGCGATGCGCTCACTGGCTGAGCGCGGTGTGGCTGGTCACAAAAAGGACAAAAAAAAAAATACTGATAATGGTTATCAGCATCTGAAGGCAATTTCTCATACTCTGGGTCCTGGTACCCAACAAAAGCTCAGATTTCCATTTGTAAAAGTTACATTTAACATTTTATATTACCATTAGATAAGTGCTTTCCCCAAAGACAATAATTTTGCTAAAATATTAACTGAAGAGGAACTAAACACATAATATACTTGATGCAAAAGATTTTTATTGTACCCACATTCATATGGGGCATGAAAATCATCTTAGCATACAAAATAATTACTATGGTAAATTTTTAAATCCATCAAACATCCTTGATTACTAAATTAATCCAGTATGCAATGAATGCCTATTACTTGCTTGGGAATATAGTAAAAACTGAAGTATCTGAAGTGACTAGTATGAAAATAGAGGCATCAACCACAACATTTAGCATTTGTGGCTAATTTTTTTTTTTTTACCTTATTTGGCGATTTCAAAGGTGAGATGGCTATTTTATTTGGTGTCTGTGTTGTAGAATTTAAAGTTGATCCAATAACACCACTTTCAGATATGGTTATGGTCTTTGATGGAGTTCCAGGAGTAGACTGTGAAAGAACCCTACCTGCAAATGAGAGGCAGCACATCAGTTTGACTTTTTCCAATAATAGTCTAAAAATTTATCTGACGATGATCTACACCCCACAAGGACTGTAACATATGCTCACTATTTTATATATTTAAGCATATGAACCTAAATACTTAAGTGAATCCCTAATGAACTGTGGTGAACCTAGGCAGAAAGAAACAAAACAATACTTCTTAGTAATACTTAATATCCTAATATCAGTTTATATAAAGTCTACAAAAACAGTTCTGCTCATATCCTCATCAATACTGTTAAGTTATATCTATCAGAAAGCATGCTCAGAACAACTATGCAAAATGCCCTATGTAACCCAGCTCCTGAAAGTCAGGACTTGAATCCAAGTCTCAAAACTTCAGTCTCTGTACTCTACTATATTATAGCTGTCTTCTTATTTGAACTTAAACCAGAAGGAAAAATTTAAATTCACACTTATAAAACAGATAGTTATTGGACCAACTTGGACACTGTCAGGTTCAATACTGTCTGATTTTAGACTGCCAAAAGGGAAATAAAGTTTCTCCTGGTTACCCTGGCCAGATTCCACACTGTGTTCCCGTCTGCACAATACCCTTCATGAACAACATAGAAAAAGTATAGTGTGTCTGGATAGTTTAGGGAATTGGAAATCATATTATAACGAACTGAAGTATCAGGAATTTTTATCCTAGACAAGAAAGGACTACAAAGACATGACATCTCCCAATTCTTGAAAGACTGTATGATAGTCATTAGTGCCATTCACCAAGTAAATCGTCTCTCAGTATCCACAGGGGATTGGTTCCAGGACCTCCCATGGACACCAAAATCCATGGATGCTCAAATCCTTGATGTAAAATGGCACAGTATCTGCATATAACCTATGTATATCCTCCCGTATACTTTAAATCATCTCTAGATTACTTGTAATACCTAATACAACGTAAATGTTGTGTAAATAGTTGTTATACTATACTGTTTAGGGAATGACAAGGAAAAAGAACATTGTAAATGTTCAGTATACATGCAACTTTTTTTTCCCAAATATTTTCAATCCACAGTTGGTTGAATCCATGGATGAGGAACCCACAGATACAGAGGGCCAAGCTATATTCAGGTTCTCCTCCATCCTGGCACACGGTAGAACTTCCCATTGCACTTTGTATCTGCCCTACCCCGCAAATCTTGTGGTTAAATTAGGGTCATGTGACTACTTCTGGCTGATAAGTTATGAGTAGAAGTGACATGTCATTCCTGGGACAGAGCATTTACGGCCTATGCAAGACCTCCCAAACATATCTTTCCTTTGCCACATCTCAGATGATGGCTCCTCTGTCAGCCTGTGTTCCTGAGTGACTATGATAAGAAGGGCCCCCCTTTGAACCCACAATGAACATTTTTTTTTTTTTCGTGACGGGTAAGGGGATCGCAACCCTTGCTGTGGTGTCGCCTGCACCGCGCTCAGCCAGTGAGCGCACCGGCCAGTCCCATATAGGATCTGAACCTGCGGCGGGAGCGTCGCTGCGCTCCCAGCACCGCACTCTCCCGAGTGCGCCACGGGGCCAGCCCATGAACATTTCTTTACACTTCTAAGATTTGGAAAACTGTATATTTTGACAAGAAAATGAAGATTATGTAATACCTAATACAATGTAAATAGTTGTTATATTATTTCAGGAGTAATAAGAAAAAAAGTCTGTACATGTCCAGTATAGACTACATGATCACATTGATTTTACTGACATATTCCTTAATTGAATGTTTTGCTGGGTTTTTTGAAAACCTGAATTACATCATAGCTAAATAAAACCAATTCTATATAAACTAAATAAATCTACATCAAATGTTTTTAGAAAGCCACCTTAAATTGTTGAGCCTTCCTAAAGTAACATGTTTGTCTATTCTGGTTTCCAAAACTAAAACCAGTGAGATGAGCCTGAAGCCTCAACAACCATATGTTAAGAAAAGAAATTACCAATAGAGTCAGTTTCATAAAATGTTCATCATTTATAGTTATCACTATAATTTCCTATTTGTCAGATATTATATACCTTTCAAAATATTCATATAGAAAATCCTCAATTCCTGAGGATAACTGATTACCAGAAAAAGGCCACTTAAAATGAATTCACTTAAAACAGGGACAAAAATTTCACTGTAAATAATTACAAAAACTATAAGTAAAACTTGCACTTTCTTTAGCTTATATATATTTTTAATTCAGTTTATAATTGCAAGTACACTAATTCTTAGGATGAACAAAGAATAAATCTACTGTTGAGTTTGGGGAAGAGAGGTTTCTTCTGAAAATCTGTATGACAGCATAGTGACAAATTCATTTCTGCCAAAATATTTGAAGATTTCATCAATTTTCCCAAGAACCTCCATATACTTTGAAATGTAAGTTATTCTTTTTGAGGGGTCTGCTTGATTTTCACCCAGACAGCGTTCCTGATTATCTAATCTAACCTCCAAATCTCTATTTATCCTTAGCTCCACAGAGTCAAGCAAGTATGCAAGTCATACTTCTTGAAATCAATTTATAAGGCATTTATATTTTACTGTCAGGTATTCTCAAAGAATCAAGGCACACATTCCAAAAAACCATAGATGGGATAGGCTGGAGCAGGGAACTAGCATATTTAGTGAGGATAAATTCTCTAAGAAATTAATTCATTAGTGAATATTCTCATATTGTGATGAAGTTTGCTCCCACAAAGCAACCTAACCTTGGGAGCTCTGAAAATGAGGACCTCTGTATCTTATTTAACCATCCCAAAAGTCTTGTGAGGTAATTGGTGTCTACATTTTACAGAAATAAGATGAACAAATAATATATTTACCCAAGATCACAGAGAAAATCAACAGAAGAGCCATGATCACAACACAAGTCTCCCAATAGCTCATACCATACACTACATTGCCTCCATAATATACATATTCATTCAACAACCCACATTCACTGAACCACGTCTAATTTCCAGAAACTGTGCTGGTACTAGAGAAAGGGAAAGAGGAAGGGGGAGAGAAGAATGGGGAAAGAGGGCGACAGGATAAAAGAACTAACATCAATATCATACATATGTACAATGGAACATTATTCTGCCTTAAAGAGGAAGGAAATTCTGACACATGCTACAACTTGGATGGATCTTGAGGACATTATGTTGAATGAAACATGCCAGTCATAAAAAGACAAATATAGTATGATTCCATTTGTATGAGGAATGTTGAGTAGCAAAAATCACAGAATAACCAAGTAGAATGGTGGTTGCCAGGGGCTAGGGGAAGGGAAAAATAGGGAGTTGTTATTGTTTAATGTGTAAAGGGTTTTGGTTTTGCAAAATGAAAAACTTCTAGAGATGGATGACAGTGATGGTTGCACAACATTGTGAAGGTACTTAACGCCACAGAGCTGTAAACTTAAAAATGACTAAGATGGTAAATTTCATGTTATGTATATTTTACCATAATTTTTAAAAAATAAATTAATCTTGGGGCCGGCCCGGTGGCGCACTGCTATAGTGCGCCGCTTGGGAAGCGCGGCGGCGCTCCCGTCAAGGGTTCGGATCCCACATGCAGACCGGTTCCCGCTCACTGGCTGAGCGAGGCGCGGGAGCAACACCGAGGGTTGCGATCCCATTGCCGGTCCCGGTCCGGTGCAGGGGCGACACTGAGGGTTGCGATCTGTTGCAGGACACGGAAAAAGACAAAAAGAAAAAAAAAAAAAAAAAGGAAAAAAAAAATTAATCTTTGAAAAAAGAACTAAACAGCAAACACAAAACAAACAAAAAAACTACCATCAAGAAAAATCATAAATGTAGCAGGGGAGACAGGCAAGAAAACCAAGTACTACAATACAGTGTGACTAATGGACAAGTTCAAACCCAGTGTGAAATTTAATAGAAGTGTAATTAAACATAAGTATTTGGTAGGCATAATCAAGTTTTATGGGAATACATAGGAAATGGTCAGAGGAAGAATATCTGATTAAATCTAGGCATCAGAAACTTCCAAGCTGGGAAAAGATGAAATGGAAGAGTTAGCCATGAGGAACAGCAAAGAAAGGCATTCCAGGTTAAAAAAAAAAAAAAAGTGTCAACATCCTAAGTCCTGAGAGAACATGATCCACTTGTTGATCTCTAAAAATAAGTTATATCAGTAGGTCTGGAGCGGATAGGAGGTGAAAATGAAAAAAGTTTGCATTTGATAATAAATATCTTTAATGTTAAGAAAGCACTGGGACACCCCAAAATCACTGAAAAACAATTTCAAAGGACTTTGAAAGTGCATTAGCTGCAATATAATGATGATGGAACCTCCTTATCATATGACAATTCAACAGGACAGCTACTTTGGTGGTTTAAAATTTGGCTTATATAAATTTTAAAAGGCTATGAAGAACTGATTAGAAGTAGAAATTATCCCTCCAAACTGAATTTAATGCCAGCAATTCTAGTGATATTTAACAGAAGTCCATCTCTATGCACTTGATAGGGCTATGAAGTCTATCTGCAATTAAAAGGTGAAGGTATGATTAGACTGCAAGACATTATAAATGACCCAAAGATAATGACTGGATAAATGACCCAAAGACATGGAAGGAACGACATCCATGATAGTCCATGATAGTCAAGGTGAACTCTTGACGTTAACCAAAAATTCATTCATATACTTCTGCAAACATCACAATTGTTTAGCATACTACACCCCCAGATTAAAAATTTTAAGGGACTCTCTCAAACTCACAACAGTAAAGAACATTGCACTGAGACATTCCTTCTGGTTAATCCCCTCTATCTACCCAAAACCTCCCAGGGAGACTGATGGTCTTGAAAGTATTGATGCTTTTCATCAATACTTCCAAGCCTTGCCTATTTTTGGCCAATTGCAGCCCACTTCCTGAACCAGCTCCAAATCCAAATCCTTTCCAATCTTTCCTCTGGAGCAATACCTGCACCTGCCTCCCATGACAGCCCTCAAGACACCAACCTGCTATATTGTCACAAATCTCTACTTAGAACCAATAGAAAAAAACAACAGTCATTCACCCAATACTGCCCTCACACTACAATCTTTCCATCCCTTCTTTCACTTGCTAAAATGAGAAAAATTTTACAAATTTTCTCGGGAAAATGACAAATCACTGCCAGTGACTTCAGAGTTGAGTACTGCTACATCTATAAATTTATTGAAGACCATATTAGATGGTTTTAATATATGCGCTAAGGATGATTGATTAGTTAACATGTGAAGTACCCTCATCAAGAATACACATTCAAGCCTAGCTGGTTAGCTCAGTTGGGTAGAGTGTGGTACTGATAACACCAAGGTCCTGGATTGGATCCCTGGACCGCCCAGCTGCCAGAAAAAAAAAGTGTATGTAAGAATACACATTCTAAGAATGGGTAATTAGCATTGAAAGTCTCCAGTAAAAGTCTATCTTCCAGAGGTACTTCCATATAATCCCTTAGCAAAATGGAAATTAGAAATGATCTTGTGGGCCGGCCCGGTGGCGCACTGGGAGCACGGCAGCGCTCCCATCGAGGGTTCGGATCCCATCTGTCTGAGCGCAGTGCCCCTTAGCAAAATGGAAATTAGAAATGATCTTGTGGGCCGGCCCGGTGGCGCACTGGGAGCACAGCGGCGCTCCCATCGAGGGTTCGGATCCCATCTGTCTGAGCGCAGTGCCGGCGCAACACCGAGGGTTGCAATCCCGTTGCCGGTCCCCGGTACGGGCGCGACACCGAGGGTTGCGATCCCGTGTGTTGCGATCCCGTTACCGGTCAGTAAAAAAGACAAAAAGGAAAAAAAAAAAAAGAAATGATCTTGTAACTAGTGAAAAGGGAAATGTTAGTACAGATCTGAATTAAACACCAATCACCATGGCTATGCAATTTTTTTCTAGAAGAACTGAGCTGCTTGCATGGCTGCTTGCCAGGCAAGGAGTAAGAGAATTGGACTTAACCAAGGCATTATAGAAAGAGACAGAGAAAAGAGAATCAATGGTGTTTGCAAGGCAACAATAATGAGGGTCATAGACAGCATGTTGACTAAGGAAGAATTTGAGGACAGGAAGGGGACAATTATTAAAGAGAAAGTGGGAGGCTCAATGGATCAGAGATTTCAACAAAGAACTGCTGGATTTGGAGTGCAAAGGCAAGTAAGTTGGAATAATAAAGAGAATGGGATACATGAAGTCAAGATTTCTGAAGTGGCATATTATTGGCGATGACAAATTTTCAGGTATATAATAAAAGGAAACTGGGCCACACTAAGGAGTGTGCTGGTAAAAGTAATATAGCCAAAATTCTGTCATCATTTAAGTAACTACTATTACTGTGACAATTTTCTGTTCGTAGAGAACCACATATAGAGTATATTAAAACACTGAAACAAAAAATTCAAACAGAAACCATGAAATACTATACTCCCATGTGTATTCATTTTAATCTATTAGACACAGCACATGTGTTCTAGAGACAAACTGCCTGGGTTCAAATCCCAGCTCAGCCATTTACTAGCTGAGTGCCAAGATTTCCACACTGGCAAAATGGGGATGTTATTAGTATCTACCTCATAGGATTGCCAGAGAATTAGATAAGTCACTGTACGCAAAGAGCTAAGAATGGTGCCTAGCGCGTAGTAAACACAATACAAATGTTAGACAGTATTCCTGGAGTTTAAGACTTTGCTACTTTCGTGGTAAATTTCTACTAAAACCTAAGGAGACTGATTTTAAGACATTTTGCTTGAAGCATTCATTTAATAAGTGTAACACTTCTTATTAACTAGTTTGGTGTACAATAATAAGCTATACTTGTTGCACTAAAACATTCTAAGATGGCAGAACAGCCTTTTTTTAAACCTAGAAGAAAGGTAAATATATAACTTAATAAACTATAAAAAAAAAATAACCTGCAATGACTGGTGGTGACACTTGAGTTGTCTGTCCTGTAACTGCTTTACTATTAATTGGTTTTGCAAAGATCAGCTTCGTGATTACTGGACCAGAGGTTGGTGTTCGAGGCTTCTTAGCAATCTGAAATATATAAATAACTATGAAGATCATTTGTTTCTATAAAACACCTATTCAATCAAAATTAAACAAAAGATTCATACAGTAATACGTGTAAAATCAGCTCATTTAAGAAAATATATCTATATATTAATGTTAAAAACATTTAAAATGCAGCCATTCATGAAAATACTAATATGATCACATCCTTAAGTCCATATACAATAATAGCTTTACGTTTTATTATAAATCCTATTTTAGTCTCTTTGGATATATGCATATGATGAAAACCAAATTAGTGTCTAATAATAATGTTTAATAAAAAACATGGCACAGTAATATTCTTTTTCAAAATAACAAATTACTCAATATAAAAATATGGAGTTAAGAAAGTATAGTGCAAATGATGAAGCCATCTATATACACAATTACATTGGCCCCTGGATGCAAAATAAATACACATTAAAGATAGGCTTATGATCAGATTTTCAACTCTATATATCAGGAGTAGATAAAGGAAGAACTGAACAGGTTAAAGACTTAGGACACAGAGACAAGTTTGGTAGAACAGAGACTATTATAAGGGCAAAGGCTCTGAAATATTATTTACTAAAATACAGTTTACTATACTTTAAATTCCTTGAAGGGAGGATCTATATTTTATTCATCTCAGATCTGAAGTTATATGTTGGCACACTGTTGACCTAAACTGAAATTCTCCACAAGTCAAGAAAAGTGAGTTACCAATGTTTTTATTTTGAAATTATCACCATATACAAAGACACAGCTTCTTCTAAAAGTTAGAAGCAGAAATTTACCTATGATAAAAATCATAGAATTTCAGAGTGTAAAGGACATTAAATATAATGTTATCGTTTGACAGATATGAAAATTGAGACCTTGAAAGTATGAGGGGGTCTTCAAAAAGTTCATGGAAAGATTCATATTATCTTTTAATTCCATTTTTTTTTCCTTTTTGTCTTTTTTTCATGACCGGCAACGGATCGCAACCCTCGGTGTTGCGCCCGCACCTCGCTCAGCCAGTGAGCGGCCGGTCTGTATGTGGGATCCGAACCCTGGGCGGGAGCACCACCGCACTCCCAAGCGGCGCACTGTAGCAATGCGCCACTGGGCCGGCCCTTAATTCCATTTTTGCACAGACTTTTTCAAGTACCTTCATACTATGTATTATTGAAAATAATGACTCAAATGAATAAACATGACCAACTTGAATGACAGAAATACACTGCAAGATGTAACCGATCACAGAACTAGATAAATATCAGCTCTTTGTACTCAAATTAAAAATTAAAATAAATAACACATTGTCTTACACTCAGAATATATTAATTCCTTACATTCAGACATAGACTGGCAAAACAAAATGTATATGAAATACAAATCACTTTTAAAAAAATAAGACCCATCACTATATTAAAAAAAAAACCAAATGCAAAACTATGACAAACTCCAAAAAATACATAATTATACTTTAGAAAGCAGATGCAATTTAGAAAGACATAAAAGAAAATAGTTCCCAAGTGTGTTTACAGACCTTAAACTCTAAAGAAAGTCAGAATTTCATCTGTATATGTAATATTAATGATCTCAAAGGGTAGAAGTATTGCTATTCTTAGAAATTCATATCTAACAATAGATAACCTTAACTATAAAGATTAAGAGCTTAAAGTATTTCCCCATTTTTAACTGATTTTCACAATCATATGACTAAATGAATACTTACCAATAAGAAAAAATATATAAACAATACAAACAAAAGCACATTATTCAAATGAACAATCTAATCTTGACCTTGTGGTCCAGTTCCATTAAGAAACTACGATTTTTTTGCACTATAAATTTTAAACTACCCTAAAACAAAATTACTTTATTAAGTAAAACAAAGGATAATTTTTAACAAGGGTATTTAATCAGCAGATTAAGACAAAAATAAAAGAAAAAGGAAATTTACAAATAAGGCAGACAAATATGCCATCAAATAATACATGCAAGTAATTTTTGACACTATGCTGAATATATTCAGGAACTAGTAAGGAGTTATGTTGTCCCAGACTACTAGTTATTTACTACTCTTATATACTATGCATATGAAATATAGGAAAGTGTCTATATATCTGTAATTAAGTGTAACTATACCTCTGTTACTGCCTCTGGCCTCAACTGTCACCTCTTTCCTTCATTTTTTCAAGATGGGCCTCTTTCTTCCACCCTCACCTGCTGTCCATACCCTAACAGTCTCAATACTGTGATTACACTTAAGACAACGCTGAGGACTGTCTAGGAAAAAAACCAGAGAATCATATAAACCATGTAATACTAAACCAAATATTCTGGTGTCTAAAGGGCAAAAACAGAGATGCATAGTTTTGGGGTTGTTTTTTTTTTTCCTGTGCTTAAGAACTTTGTAGGTCACTTCTGAGTTGGAAAGATTTGAGTTGCTTAAAAATAACTGGACAAGCAGAACAGTATTCTAAATTGATTTCTTTTTTTGTTGTTGTTATAATTTTTTTTTAAATTGATGTTCTTTTTTTAATAAATAGAATCAGGTTTCATAAAAGTAACAACAGTATAAAACAAGTTATAAGAATTAGATCCCAGTCTTGGTTTTTATTGTCAGTACTTAGGGAATTACAGTAGAAAACTCGTGGATACAAGTACACCAGTCATTGAAACAGTATGTATACATTGCTCTTGAAATTGAAAAAAATGGCATTCTGATTTATGTTATCAGTTTCTTGTGAAGATGATTATGATCCACACTGCCAAAGCCAGATAAACTCTGGTAAACCAATAAAAACAAGTTTCAAAACTGAGGACAAGATGCTTGATGCTGATAGGATAGCTCATTCAAGAGATGCTCAGCAAAAATAAGTAAAAGGAAGCCAGAGATAAGTGAGAGATAATAATGAACAAGAAAGAAAACAGTACTAAATGTTTAACAGTGGCAGAATGATATGAGCAAATTAGAAGGTTTGAGAAATCTTACGAACTTCTTAAAAGCCCATGAAAAATAAGTTTCTAATTATTTTGCCAACACAGTAACGAAAATGTTATTTCTAATATCAGCTGAGAGCAGATAGTTCCCTCAAACCTTCCTACTTCTCTATACATTTCCTTTACAACTTTAAATCATGCCTTCTCCTTTCTTCTAAAAGGCAACTCTTTCAAACAGGGAATGCATTTTTGTTTCCTGGTCATAAGTGGTCATTGTATTTCTAAGAATGATGGCCTAAGAAGGCTTATTTGGGTATGAAAAACTGAAAATCATTGAATACATGTCCTGGTAAACTTCTTTCTTAAGATCCTATGCATACTAATAATAAGGTACCATTTTCCAGGATCCTAAGTGTTTTGAGAACTATACGATGTATTTCATCATGATCAAACAGCCATCTTAAGCTCAAGTCAAAAACTCAGAGAAGATAAGTAACCTTTCCAAAGTTCCATAGCTGATAGGGAAGCATAGCAGTAACTCAAACCCAGTTGGTCCAACTCTAAAGCCTATATGTTATCTTCCACCATATGTCACTGACTTTCCCATACTGCAAACATGAGTGATGGCAATGGACAGTAAACTCCAAATATAAGAGGCACACAATGGCTTGCATGTACTATTGCTGGCTCCAAGGCTTTCTCAGAGCAGCAAAGTTTTCCTAGTCTTTGGTCATCAGTTAACTGAAAAAACTCTGTCTGAATGATTTTTTGATAGCCCTATAGCATGTCTGGCATCTTTAGAAGAGCAAAACATTCTTGTGATCAAAGTACTACTAAGAATAAAATGCATTTTAAAATGAATAAAAGGCTACAAATATACTAATTTGGAATTTAACCACAATTAAGTTTGCTCTAAGTTCTCCGGCAACAATTGTCATAAGCATTAGACATATCAAATTAAAAAGAAAAAAAAAAAACCCACACAATTACTTAAAGCAACAATTAAAAGAATTCAGTAACAACTATGCATTTAATAACCCTACAAACACAACTACGAATCAGTTTAATTTTTTAACATGCATTTTAATTGACAAGCCCCCTTTTGTTTTTACCTGTACTGTTTTTAACTGTTGGGTCTGTAACACAGAGGGCTGAGTTGTAGTATTAATCAGTTGACTTCCTGGGGTCAATGCTGAGACACCAATGACAGGTTTCACCTCTGGCCTCCCTCCAATGGTAACTACTTTAATTTGCTGCGGTGGTAACTTAGAATCTCCTGACTGGGCCTGAGTTGTAACTTTCTGAGCCTGGGGTAGTTGGCTATGGGGCAATGCTAAAACAATTGGTGAACCAGACTTGCCCAAAGTTGTTAAAATTAACTTCTGTCCATCTGGTTTAAGGGTCTGATTGCCAAGTTTAAGATCAGATGTCTGTGATACTTTGTTTAAAATAATCTGATTGGCTGATATAGTCACAGGAGTCTGAGCACCAAGTTTTTGAAGGCCACTTGGAAAAGCTGGTTTCACTGTGGTATTAGAATCTGCTTTAGTAATTGTGGTATTCACTGTAACTTGGTTAGTGTGGTTACTGTATACTGTGATTGGTTCCGTGGAAATGGGCGTGGTTGTAGAGTCACCAGTAGAATTTATGTTGACAATTTCTTCCAGTTCTGTCTCCATGGGAATTGGGGATGAAACAATAACAGCCTCAATACTATCATCATCCACTAAAGTTATACCAGTGTCCATTATCTCCTCTGGAAGCAAACTATTCACCTCAGCTGGCACCACCTCCATGATCGTTCTCCTGCTAGAAAGTTGATCAGGCGCTGCAATAAAAGTTGAAAAATGAATGTTACTACGTTACAAAACAGATTTAAGAACCAAAAAAAAAAAAAAAATAAATAAAAAAAAATAAAATAAAATAAAATAAAATAAAATAAAATAAAAATAAAAAATAAATTAAAAAAAAATAAATAAATAAATAAAAATAAAAATAAAAATAAAAAAAAAAATAATAAAAAAAAAAAAGAAAAAATATTCAAGAAAAATGCAAATGACAAATTAACCATTTTTTATTGCTATATAATTGAATGAAGGATATTCTGGTATATATTTGAGTTAAATACATATTCAAGGATCTGAAATATAAGTCGTATGAGACACAAAACAAGAAGCAAACATTCTTGGGAACTAGTAGAATAATGCTGATATGAACATTTAAGTTCAACTTTTTTATGGATTTTTTTTCATTTCTTTTGAGTAAATACATAGAAATGGAATTGCTAGATTGTAAGGTAAATTTATTTATTTACTTTTTTTTTTTCTGACCGGTAAGGTGATTGCAACCCTTGGCTTGGTGTCATCTGCACCACGCTCAGCCAGTGAGCACACCAGCCATCCCTATATAGGAACCGAACCCGCAGCCTTGGCGCTCCCAGCACCACACTCTCCCGAGTGAGCCACAGGGCCGGCCCAAAATTTATTTTTAACTCTGTATAAAATTGCCAAACTATTTCCCAACTTGACTGGACCATTTTATATACCCACCAGCAATGTATGAGAGTCCCAGCTGCTCCACATCCTTGCCAGCAATTGGTATTGTCAGCCTATTGCTGGTCTTTTTATTTTTTATTTATTTATTTATTTTTCCTTTTTTTTGACTTTTTTCGTGACCGGTAATGGGATCGCAACCCTCAGTGTCGCGCCGGTACCGCGACTGGCAACGGGATCGCAACCCTCGGTGTTGCGCCCGCACCGCGCTCAACCAGTGAGTGGACCGGTCTCTATATGGGATCCGAAACCTCAGCGGGAGCGCCGCCACGCTCCCAAGCGCCACACTCTACCGAGTGCGCCACCGGGCCGGCCCGCTGGTCTTTTTATTTTTAGTCATTCTAGTGAGTGTGAAGTGATATCACATTGTGGTTATAACTTGCAATTCCCAGATGACTAATGATGTTGAGCATCTTTTCATGTGCATGTTGTCTACTTGTATATCTTCCTTTGAAAAGTGCCTGTTAAAGTCTTTGTCGTTTTTTTAAAAAATACTGGGTTTTTAGTCTTCTTATTGAGTTGGATGAGTTCTTTACATATACTGTAAAATCATCAGTCATTATACCTGTAGCTAAAAGGAATCATTAGGATTTGTGGACGTCAAAGTACTTAGCACTTCTTTACATGTGGCTCTTCCTTATCAGAAGAATCTCCTTTGGCACTTATGGGTATTTATAGTACAGGCAGGGAAAAATATCAACACCAAATATACATTTAGCAGTGAAAGTCACAACAACTGTACACAACAAATCCCTGTGCCCTCCCCCCACAATATCACATTAGCTTTCTTCCCCTACTGCAAACCTTGCCCAAACCCCATCAGTTGAATCTGGATACTCCACCCCCACTGAATGAGGCAGGATGATGACTTGAGTGCCTGTATTCAACAGAGCCATAAATGCTTGACCTTTTCCTCTCCTGGAAGTTCCCCCAGCACATTTAGACACGTGAGTATGGCCTTTGACCCCTCTTAAGGACAGGAAGACCTCAGCCCAGCCCTTATTTTTCCTTCTCCTTAAAGCACCTGAAGTCAAAGAGCAGGAGGAGGGAGAAGTCAGGGGGCCCCAGAGGAAGACAGCAGCTTCACACCAATAAGCAAAGCTTTGCGTTTACTTTCAGATTCAAACACCTACCCTTGCAGCTTAACCAAAGAAACTTCTAAGGTTTTCAAATCACCCAAAGCTCTACATTCTCATTGCTGACACCATTTTTTAGCTTTGAGGACTTCTTGACTCAGGAGTTACAGTCACACTGCCTTTCAGCATGGCCATGGAGTTGAGTGTACAACAACCAAAGAACCACCCAGGAAGCTTGTTTCAGTCCTACCTCTTAGCTTGAGCCTGTAAATATTCCTTAATAGGGAGAACAATGGAGGCCTCTTACTCCCCCTGGTCCCACCACCTGGGTAAGACCATTCATTACCAGATGCCGGAGGGTCTTTTCATATCCCCTAACCTAGCCCACAAGGCCCTCAGCCTTTTTTCCAGAAAGTCATGCCTCTGTCAGTACCTGATCCTCTTGTCCAAAACTGTCAAGAACTGTGAGAGGTCTGAGATTTTATACCTCCTTGAAAGCTAACAAAGAAGCATGTTACAGTTTCATGGATACTGGCAGAAGACATAGTAGCCTTGGGTCAGACACAGAGGACTTTTTTTTTTTTTTTTTAATTCCTTTTTATCTTTTTTACTGACCGGTAACGGGATCGCAACCCTCGGTGTCGCGCCCATACCGGGGACCGGCAACAGGATCGCAACCCTCGGTGTCGCGCCCGCACCGCGCTCAGCCAGTGAGCGGGAACCGGTCTCCACATGGGATCCCAACCCTCGGTGGGAGCGCCGCCGCGCTCCCAAGCGGCGCACTCTCCAGTGTGCCACCCGGCCGGCCCCACAGAGGACTTTTTACTCACCGCACAGCAAAGAACATGAGCATTATGTATATATCTGTTCCTCTGTAGCCCCAAGGCCCACAGGGAAGACATGGAGGGGGCCAGGTAAATGTTGTGCTTGCAGTGGGTTTGGATCACAGCTGAGGAACCCTGACCTTAGGGAACTTGAATCTTTTATAATGGGCAGAGCAAACTGTCCTTTGTCCAGAGAGAGAGATTATCTTTATTACACTGGACAATAAGGAAATTTGCCCTTTGCTACAGCAGGAGACACTATATCTACCATCCAAGGCTGTTTGCTATACAAATATCTTTGAAAAGATCATTTAAAACAAAAGGGCTGTCTCTGCCTCATTTCCAAGAGATGCAGAAATGTAAAGACCCATGGAAAATTCTCTCCCAACAGTATACCTCTGTACTCATTTATTTCAGCAATGTTATATACAAGTGTATAGGTTTTACACATATTTTGTTAAGTTTATCCCTAAGTATTTCATGTTTTTTTAAAGCTATTGTATAAATGACCTTTTCTTCCCCATTTTCCAATTGTTTGCTACTAGTATATAGAGATACAATTGATTTTTATATCTTGTCTATGTATCCTACAACCTAGCTAAACTAACTTGTGTGTTCTCTCCTCTTCGATTTTCAGGAAAAGTCTGCACAGAATTTTTTAATTTCTTACTTAAATCCTTCTTAGAATTCACCAGTGAAGTCATCTAGACATAAAGCTTTCTTGTGGGAAGTTTTTTTCACTACAAATTCAATTTCTTTCTTTCTTTATTTTTTTTTTCCTTTTTGTCTTTTTTCGTGTCTGGCAACGGATCGCAACCCTCAGTGTCGCGCCCGGACCGGACCGGGACCGGCAACGGGATCGCAACCCTCGGTGCTGCACCCGCACCTCGGTCAGCCACTGAGCGGGAACTGGTCTTTATGTGGGATCCGAACCCTCGGCGGGAGCGCCGCCACGCTCTCAAGCGGCGCACTGTAGCAGTGCGCCACCAGGCCGGCCCCAAATTCAATTTCTTTAATAGATGTAAGATTATTCACGTTATTTCTTTCTTCCCGAGTGACCTCTGATATTTGATAGTTTGTGTCTTTCAAGGAATTTGCCTATTTCCTCTAAGTTATCAAATTTATTAGCATAAAGTTATATAATAGTCTTTCAATACCTGTAGGATCTGTAGAAATGTCCCCTCTTCATTACTCATGTTGGTAATCTGTCTTCTCTTCCTTTTTTTCTTGATTAGTCTGGCTGGAGATTTATCAATTTTACTGACCTTTTCAAAGAACCATTTTGGGCTTCATTGATTTTCTCAATTGTCCATTTTTCATTTAATTGATTGTTATCTTTCCTCCTCCTCCTGCTTACTTTAAGTTCGATTTGTTCTTTTTCTAGAATCTTAACATGGAAACATAATTCATCAAACTACAGCCTGTAGGCCAAATCAGGCCCATGTCTGTTTATGGCTTGCTCAATACTGAAGAATTTATTTTTACATTTTGAAATGGTTGTGGGGGGGAGTGGTAATGTGTGACAGACCTATATGGCCTGTAAAGCCTAAAATATTTGCTATTTGGCCCTTTACAGAAAAAGTTTGTCAACCCCTGGCTTAGATCACTGATTTTAAACCTTTTCTTCTTTTCCATAGTTAGCCTTTAATATGGAAAATTTCCCCCAAAGCTGCTTTAGATGCATTCCATTAATTTCAATACGTTATTATCATTCGCTTCAAATGTTTTCCAATATTCCTTGTGATTTTTGTCTTTGATACATGAATAAAGATGTATGCTATTTAATTCCCAAATATTTGGAGATTTGCTAGCTATCTTATTATTTATTGATTTCTAATTTAATTCTATTATTGTCAGAGAACATAACACTCTCTAACATTTCCAGCATTTGAAATTGAAGATATATTTTATGACTGAGTATATGGTTTTCTTGTTGAATGCTCCATGTGCATTTGAAAAGAATATGCATTTTGTTATATTCTGAGTTATTTTATAAATGTCAATTAGGTCTGGTTGACTGATAGCATCATTCAGATCTTCAATATCCTTACTGATTTTTTTACTGTTCTATCAATTACTGAGACAGAGTGTTAAAATCCCCAAATGATAGATTTGTCTACTTTTCCTCTTCAGTACCTTTTTGCTTCATATATTTTGAAGCTTTGTTATTAGAAGAACATATGCTTTTATTTGTCCTGTTAAAAGAGACTAGAACTTACAGGAGCAGTAGTCTCCCTTTGAACTAGGTGCAAAGTTTGAACTTCTAACAAGAAAACATCTGATTGGTTTGGCCAGTCTCTATGTAATAAGGGTTGTACAGAGTTCCAGAGCCAGGACACCTCTTAAGCCACTAAGCAGACTATAAATGACTACCTTATGATTAGACATCCTTATCTATTTCAATCAGGGTCACAAGCAGGGCATGGTGGCGTTTGCTAAAAGAAACTCTCAAAAGGAGCTTGCGGGCATGGCAGGAAAGGGTTTGGCCATCTAGTTACATGAATCATCATCCTAATTTTATCCCTGAGGAATTGAAGCTACGTACATGCAACCTTGTCATCACTGTGTTGAGGACCACTCCAGGAAAAGAAAGGATCTTCACAGGCCAAGAGAGCTGAGGGACTTTAGTTCATCTCACCTGTATGAAGGGTTACTGTAAAGACATGGTAGGAAAAGAATCCAGAATATGCAATGCATTCCCCATGCCTCCAATATGTTTAGTTCTTAAAATAAAAGTTCTAAAGGCAAAGTATGTTCCTGGAAGCCAGTAAAATGAGTTTTCTCTCCTCACAGTTGAACATGGTTGAATGGTTTATGTCCGATGAAAGTTACAGAATCACTCATTTCTGAAAGTCTAATGATTTCTAAATTTGTCTCAACTGTATTAAAAGACCTATTTAAAACAGCACCCCCATCCTCATCTCCACTGGCCCTTACACTCTATCCCATTACCCTGGTATTTCACAGAATGTGTCAACCAGAAAGTATCTTGTTTGTTTATAGTCTGATCATCCCTCCCCCACTTCTTTAGAATGCAAGCTACATGAGGACAGGGATTTGTTTGCCTTCATAACCACTGTACCCCTATCTATCCCCAGTGCCTAAAACAAAGCTGGCAAATAATAATATCTCAATATAAACCTGAAGAATGACTAAATTAATCATGGAGAAGAAGTGTCATCTAAAAGTCTAGAATTATTTACGTTTGAAAACAACTTTTGTGTATTTGAGTAGAATATGTCTACATAATGCTCTGAGACTTTACAACAATATAAATAAAATAGCAAACCCACATCACCCTAAGGCACACTAACAAACTGAAAAACTCTTTTCAAATAAGTTTTTCAATACCCAGATTTAGCTTTTAGCCAATATCCTCTGCAATTACATTCCATCTTAAAATCTACAAGATTCTCTTAGTTTTTAACTAGCTTATGATTTTGTCAGTCATTTAATTAATAAATACTTATTGCTTCCCAGCTTTGTGGATGGTATTAGGGGAAAGTAATCAAAAACCTTGTCCTGAAAAAGCTTAGAAATCAATGAGTGGCATTATCACAGATGTACTTTGGAGGATTAACTTCATCTCAGTATTTTATTGGACTGGAGGCAGAGAGACTGGTTAGGAGGCTATTACGGTAATTAGTTCAAGACAGAGATAGATGGAAGATCTGATTTAGGATGGTGACAGTAAAAAAGAATTGAATTAAATATAAAATAAAGAATATAAGAAATGACAAATGCTCTATGGTTTTATATATTTTTTTAAAGAATCTCTCATAGAATAAGCAACACTTTGGAATACTGTTCTTAGTTACAGGAGAACAATCTAGTAAACAACTGTTTTCATTCTTGCACATAATATGAAGTGGTAACCTATCACTATTACAGATGAACGAGTAACAAATGGGAGTGTTTAAGGACTACACTTTTGTATCTACAGTTTACCACCAGTACTAACTGGTTAACTACACCATTTAGATTTTAGCTTTGATTTATAAAATCAAACAACTCAGAAACTAGGTATAGAACTACATTTTTCAAACTAAATTGGAAACAGTGGACTATAAGCCATGAGTTCTGATGAAGGTTTGAAAGGTTTGTATTTTCATTTTGATAATATTTTTTAAAGTATATTCTGGCCATCTGGATAACTACCTCATATCCAAAATCAATGGTAAGAGAAATAGGATGGACTAAAGAAAACGGCACAGAAGGGACTAATAAGGTAAATATATTTCTGCTGAGTGAAAGCCAAACCACTTAACCTGCGAATTAAAAAGAAAAGCTCTCTAGTGTTCAAACACTGAAAAGTGGTGTAGGAATTGAGTCATCATAGGATGTACAGCGTATAGAAAACTGTACACCTGTGCCAAGGCAGACAATAGTATAGATTGTCTCACTATGCAAAGATTTAGTTTCAGCAAAACAACATCATCCATCACCCTAAAGTTTAATTTGTACTGGTTTTATAGTTTTATTTATATTTCATTTATAAATTTACTTTTGTTTTATATTTGGTTTTATATTCATATATATCTAAAAAATAAGTAAACATTTTATTAAAATAAAATAATTTATACCAATACTGGGGATTCACAATTTTTTTTTACCTTAAAAGAGAACTGTATATTATTCATGCCTAAGATTAACATGGTGGAAAAAAACATGGAGATTCAAATCAGGAAGACCCATCTCCAGATCTTGGCTCTCCTAGTTGCTTAGCATGTATCCTAGGCAAAAACATCTCTGAGCCTCAGTTTACTTACAGGGTTATAGAGAAGATAGTTATAGATATGCTGCAACTCAAATGAAAGTTTTTTCCTTCTTTTCCTGTTTATCTAAATTAGCTTCTCCTACTGGTTTCTCTATTTTTTATGGCGTTCAATATTCTATCAAACACCAGGGCTTAAGATTTTATCAGCTTTGATGTCTCTCTCCATAGAAATATTCATCTGTCATATACCATACAGATTATACCTTCACAATGACTCCATCCCACTGCAACCAAGTGTCCAAATCTCCAAAGCTTGGAGCCTACTATAGTATTTTTACCTTCATCTCCTCTCACCTATAACACACACTGCACAAAAGCTATAGGATTTATCTCTCTAGGTACATCTCTGAGGCTGTCACTCTCCTACTCAAAAACTTTCTGCAGCTCTCAAGGTCTTCTGCAGTAAGGCCCCACCCACTATCCTTCCAACTTTACTGAAAGTTGGAAGCCTTGAACTGAAACTTTCCTGAGGCAATGATATTGAAGTTCTTTTAGCCCCTGTCGCTGTCACAGCACCTGACAAATAAATACCCAGTATTAGTGTTTGAAAAAAGTAATGAAAATCTGTAATCCTTTTCTCTAAAAAAATGGACACTGGACTATCTCCAGCAGCATAACTCTTCCTTCATTTCTTTCTAACACACTTTTAATTATTAACAGACAATTGATCAAACCACAATAATCTGAAAACTGGTCTTAAAAGACATTAATCACAAAGAATCACAAAAAGACAATAGCTTTCTGTGATTTAAAGAAAGCCAATGAAAATGCATTTTAATCTCCTTATTTAAATTATATTTTAAGTTCTTAGTCTTACTACTAACATAGAAGCTGGGTTGGCATGGACCAGATAATTAAAACATAAAAGCTATAATTAAAAAAAAAGAAACAACCAAATTTCTACTGCATAATACAAGAGCAGACAATTTTTTACGTTATTTATAATAATAATCATTAACCAAACTTTCTGAGTACCTCTCAGGTATTTCTCCTAAAAAGTTTTTGGTCCCTTATTCTTCTAGTGAGTGAAAGCCAAATGTCCAAACTATTCATACACATTCACACAAAATATTTCCTCTCTGAATACACTATCAATGTATGATACTGAATGACACACTATATTATCATCTCTTTGTAGGCAATTTGGATAAGGAAATTAACTGCTAATCATAAACATTACTAGTGGGCATTTCTTAAATATTGATCTTTCTGTTCACTCTCATACACATGATGCAACTGATCCAGGCTTCTACTATAAAAACTGATATAAAAAACCCCACAAACCAGTGTCCTAAATTGATGTATTAAAATTTGATTCACATGTAACTTTTGATTCACGGTAATACTACTGTTGTGTGCAAGGAGACAGACTCCTTAGGGATCCTGAAGGACAATCTAAAACATACACAGATCTTTAGGTAACTTAACAAAGTCAAACTATGGCCATCATAAAATCAGTCAGTCCAATTCTCCTGCTCTGTAAACAAAGGGCTAACAAGTCCAGCATTGAGAATATATCAGAGGTCTCAATTTATCTTTACCAACTTAATGTACTCACAACAAATGCTTGCATCAAGCTATCACAACTCTCCTTAACAGTGAAGGTAACTTATGACCAAAATAGAGCTCCCAGAGCTATACTTCTCTTGGATTATAAAACGTATTGCAAAATCTTCCATAACTTTCCTCTCTAAATTCATGAAATGGATGGGGGGGGGGCAGGGAAGAACTTCCCTGAAAAGCATGGATATAAAATATGATTGACAGCATCTCAATTGTTATTTGCCAAATGGCAGAGGCAAAGGGGTCACTCTAAGGATGATGCAGTCATTAAAGAAAAAAACATTTTTAATTGTTACAAAACTGGTCCATATGCTCAAAAAATGTGAGCATCCACACCCCAACAAGTTATAGACACAGACCTTAAATGCAAAATAAAATGTCAATGCTCTGCCTCCCTAAAGAAACATACAAGACCATAAACTGCTGATCACCATCAAACAAACACTCGCCAGAGCGAATATTTGAAATATTATATCACGAAATCATTATAAGTGCTAGCGGTTCCTCTAGGCCTCAGCAGCCGCCTTAGGTATAAGGGCAAACTCGAGCCCTCTCAACACTCAAAGAATAACGTTGATGTCATTACCAGGCTACTGATTCTTTGCACTCCGGACAAGTCATTCCTTGATCCACAACGCAATTCTTTCCTTACCCACCCCCAGTCTCCCAAATAAAGAGATCTCCAGACAGAGAAGCCCTCGGGTACCCCCTCCTCCTCTACCTCCAAAGGCTGCCGCTTTCTCCTCCCTCGGGCTCCGAGGTGGGGGCTCCAGAAGGTCCCGGGCAATTCCGAGCGCGGGCGGTGCTTGTTTTCCCTGTGCACGATAGCTCTGGCCAGCCGCTTCCTCTCCCAGTTTGCCCAAGCTGGAGCGCTACAGGGTTCCCGGGGGCCGAGGAGGGAGCCCGGGCGGCGACGTCGCCGCTGCCGCCGCCTCTGGTATGTCAGGGGCCGGGATTGTATTTCGAAAGATCCGCCATTTTCACCTCGTCATCACCATCACAGCTCAGCAGCTTCCCCGACAGCCCGAGCCCGGGCCGCCGCCGCCGCCACCAGTAACCTCCCCCTTCCTCCTCCCCCCCTCCCCGCCAGCCCCTCCCGAGAGGCGCACACCCACATATCCGGGGAAACCTCCGCCGGCCCCGCCAACCTTCAAACGCACACGGGAGGTGCAAGTGCACACGGGCTACGCCAAGACCTTTCACCCCAGAACCAAGCACCGAGCGCCTGCGGGCCCGAGCAACGCCAAAGGAAGCCGCGCTACCTGCGGGATCCCAAGTCCGGCATGTTTTTGGTTGGACGAGCAAAAGCCATGCGGAAGGTGGCAGAAGGACAATAAAGAACCCAAACTCTTTCATTTTCAGAAAAGCAACTTGAGAGAGATGGTGGAATGCGTTTCATTCACTGTGTTCATCTCAGACACTATAAACATTATTAAGAACTTTAATGTCATTCACAAACTTTGACATTTTACCCCACTCGCAGAACTACTCTGACAGCATGAGCTGTTTCCGTAGGTATGTCTGACCTCTGACACCTTCGTAAATTACAGGCACTGATCCCCATGCAGATACGGTGGTCAAAACATCTACTTTTTAAAAATAAAGTTCTGAATCATTCTCTTCTCCACTTAATTTTAAACGGTTATTTCTGTCCATAAACACTGTGACTTCCAATTTGTCTTTGGCTTAAGACGTCAAAGCGCAACTACACTTAAAAAGTATTGATCCAATTGTGGAAACATTCATGAACGATCAATTTCTAAAATACAGAAAATATAACTCTAAGCCAAAATTATTTGACAAATGTTTTTAGGGTCTATGTCACGAAAATTAAAAAACCATCTGCCGTTGATATATTTGTTCAATACAGTGAAAATAAGCAGCTTGTTTTAGAGCAAGACCCCAGTCACCTACCCACCCCTACCACCTCCTCTCATCATTCAGTTTAATAACTGAAAATGAATATAGGTATTTTTTAATCATCTAAGAAATAAGGAAACATAAGCTGCAAAGCTTCTGATGAGACCAGCATAAAGCAAAAAACAAACAAAAAATACCACGCAACTAAATTGTCTACCATTGTTAATTTCAGAAAGATTAATAATCACCCATTTATAAGCTGAATTCTGTACCGTTCAACTACAACATAAGCTCTAAAGACCTATTTGGAATGAGCAAATTCCAAGGTTGCGAATAGGGCCACTCTACGAGTACTGTCTTTCTTAAAAGTTAATCTAAGAAGAGTGAGGTTGAAGTTGAAAAAGCCATTTCATTTCCCTACCTTGTTTGAATGACAACATATAAAAGTCGGTAGTTTCAGGCTACAAGTGCTATCTACCACCCACAGTCATCGCCGCTTTTATATGCAGCCTGCTAGACGCTAAGAGTATAAAGTGTTCCCAATTTCTTTATTTTTAAACTTTATTTCCCCACCGACAGCCCTCTCCACCCCACTCTGCTTAGCTGTTTACCGTTGCTTGGCCAAGCTAGATCCCGGCCCGCTCCGTTCCCCCGTGCCCCTCGGCAACATTATGACATTTGGCTGGTGGGCTTCGCGAGGAAAACGGACACACACGAAGAAGAACCCCTACAAAGGGTGTAGGAAGAACCCGGCAACGGGCAGTAGGGAAAGGAGGGGCTGGTACAAAATGACACAGCAGCAAAACCGGTTCCCAGAAACCCAATCACGCGCCCAGCGCCATTCCACCGCCGCATCCCATAATAAGCTGGGCCCTCCCCGCCCGCGCGCCCCTCTCTGCCCGCCCCTCCGCCCCGCCCGCCCCGCCTCTCCGGCAGGCCTCCTTCGCCCCGCCCCTTCCGCGGTGCCTTGCCCCTCCCCTTGGCAACCCGAGCCCGCGTCATTCCGCAAGACTCCGAGAGTACGCTCCCGCTCCACGTGACGGCGAGTGGGCCTCCTGTCAAAGCTTTCGCACGGAATGTTCCATCGGACTGAGGCGGGGGTGGCTCCCGGATCGCGCCTGCAGTTGGAAGAGACTGCCTCTTCGTCTAGCTTTCCTTGTTAGGGAGTCCGAGCTGTAGGTGGAATTTCCAGCATCCCCCCGCTGTTTGATGTGGTTGAGTGAGGAGGTAGTCAATATTCACATTTCACAAATCTCTTCTTTTCTGAGGCACTGATTGTGCAGGGGTCGCTGAAAAGCCCCTGGCAGACTACTCAGAGTTAAACTTATTTTGAAAGTAAGTCTTTGCTTTTTGTTGCAATACACAGCTAAGACTAACACAATCAAAGATCTCTGTATTTAGTCATTTTTTCCTTCTCTTATTTTCCCCGCTATTTATAAGATATCCAAATGAGGAGTCAGATAACAGGCACTGAGAGATTATTCAGTTATAACTGCTCTGTGTGATAACAAGAACTACACAGATGAAACAATAGAAAATACAAAAGAGGGTGAAAGTAAAATTGTACGTGATACATTCTATAATTGCTAATGGAGCACGGAGGACATACAGATCAACCTGAGATTAGGTGGGGACCACTATGGAGAGACTCATGTTGTAGTGGAAACAGCAATCACTTTGGAATGAAGCAGTCCTGGTTTTAAATTCTGGCACCTCCACTTATTCGTGTGTAACGTTTAAATTTCTATTCTCATCTACAAAATAAAAATAAGACATCCCAGGATTCTGAGGGTTAAATAAAATGAGGGGTGTCAGGCAGCTACACAGTCTCTCTACCTCAAATGTTGGTTCTGTTGTGCCATAATCAACATCACCCATACCTCCCAGCCCAAACTCAGTGATTAGGATTTAGCAAAGCAAATGGAATGAAATTAGCAAAGGCTTGGAAGGGGGAAGGTCTGTGGTATGTTCAAGAGATGTGAGAAAGTTGAAGATGCACAGGCTTTGTTGGTGATCAGTGATGTGAGTCCAGTTTAAGAAGAGCCTTGTAAGCAAGTGTGTGAAATCTTCATGGTCAAATGACTGGTGGTACTGTGGGGCACCTCTGGAAGGAAAAAGAAGGTGAGATGGGGTGCCCTAACCTGGATGGATTTTAGGGAGACAGAGAATCCCCCAAAAAGGGAGAAATTTTCCTAGTTTATTCCACAAGGATAGCATAACTCTGATACCCAAACCCAAGAAAAACTGTACCAAAAAAAGAGGGGAAACTCTTCCATTTTCATTATGATTTTGTTACAAAGACGAATTGAATATTAAGATTTGTTATGAAACCCAGCAATGTGGTAGTGAAAAGAATTCACACCATCACGAAGTACTCTATTCCAAGAATGGTGGTTTAACATTAAGAAATCTACTCATGAACTTATTAAAGGAAAAAAAACAAATGATATTCTCTGGAGATACTTGTATAACATTCAACAACCATTGCAAATTTTTAAACTTCTTAGTAAACTAGAAATAAAAGAATATTTCCTTAATTGAACCAAGATAACCATCAGAAAACAACAGCAATGTCATACATTACTATGAGTAGCAGAGCTATTCGCATTAAAGTCAGAAACCTGACAAGTATGCAGGGATATAGCAGCTATTATTTTTCAGGGTGTCCTAGCTAAATGCAATTAAATTAGAAATAAGAGGTATAAATACCGGAAAGAATGGTCCTCATTAAAAATAATCATAAAGAGCTCAGTGTTGTGGTTCATTGCTTGGCCTCTGCAGCCAGACTGCCTAGGCCCAAATCCTGGCCCTGCCACTTAATAGCTTGGGCAAGTTACTTTCTTCTTGTGTCTTGGTGTCTTCATCTATAAATTGGGAATAGCGTATACATCATAAGGTTGTCGTGAAGATTAGTGAAATCATATGTATAGAACACTTAGAACAGCACCTGGCATACAGTAAGCACTCAGCGTCTGAAAGCTGTAATAATCAAAGCTACAATACAGTCTAAAATATAATCTAACTTTTTACTTTTTCTATAAAAACATTTTAGCTCCTAAAAGCCTCTGCCAATTTAAACATCTGTATTTCAGAAGAGAATCTTTTCTTTATGTTTGCATGATAGCTTTTCCAGATAAACTAAAAACATTCATTCATCAAATATTTGTTGATCATCTACTGGATCCCAAGCCCTATGCAAAGCACTGGGAATAAAGTGTTGCACAAGACAGAGTAGCTGTATCCAATGGAATGTTCCACAATGGGTGGAACTCTTCTGCACTATCTGACACAGTAGCCACTAGCCACATGCAGCTATCAAGCAACTGAAATGTGTCTAGTGTGGCTAAGGAACTAACTTTTTCATTTTAATTGCCATTAATTCAAATTTAAATAGCCATATGTGGCTAATGACAACAGTACTGGACAGCACAGTTCTAGAAGAAGTGACAGACAATAAACAAGTAGAAAAAAATAGAGCTTTTTAAATAAACAGAGGGGGTTTCTGAGGAAAATAACAATACAAAAATTAGAAAGTCAAGCGTATAGAGGTGTGAATTGGGTAGAATTATCAGAAAGCAAAACAAAATGTATTATTAGGTACCTATTATGTGCTGGGTACCACTAGGTACAAAGTACACACTAGTTAATAAAATTTTCTTTAAATAGGTTAGTTTCCAAAAGATTATTCAGAAGTTCCTTTGTTCATGAGTTCATCTGTTATAAGTCCAGGATGTCTCTCTACAAGCAGTTAACGTGTATATGGAAGAGTAATTGTCACCTTTGTTTCTTTGTCATTATCATATAACTCTTTTCACAACAGGTCCATAATCCCTTATCAACAATTTCAAAATCCAAAATATTTTGAAAACTGAAAGGTTTCTAGAAGCTTATGGCAGACTCATTTAGCAGGAACACCTGGCCTAACATAACATAAGGTATTAATACTCTTTATTCATACATTTTAATGTCAATATTCATATATGTCCATGCAGAAATATGAATGTATTTAATTATGGGATTTGATTATGACCAAAGGGGTTGGAAAGAACTTTCTGGGGTGATGAGAATGTTCTTGACCTTGATTGTGGTGGTGGTTGCATGAGGGTATAAAATGGCCTAAACTCATCAGGTATACTTAAAA